GGTCATGATCTGCTTTGAATGTATATGTCACTCAAATATGAACGGAACGGGGACGTGTCATTGACAATGACTTGTTAAATTAGTATTATTTGACATATTCTGGTTGTGTGCCTTTGTTTGACCTTTAGTGTTGCGTCCTGGAGTGCGGAATATTGGCGACCAGGTTCGCGGGAGACTATCTTGTATTCCTGTTAGTAACATGTGGCAGATACATTGTATAGATCCCATGCAAACAAGAATGTTGATAACATACTATATATCACAATAATGCAATTTGTGCACATTTGCAGAAACAATTTTGAGAATTATGCAAGTCAGAGAAAAGAGACATTGTATGTACCAATGTTTAAATAGTTAAATTATGATCTACTACATCCATTTTGCCCAAATCAAAACTCGTACAAGTACTTGCGACCATATTATATTGTTAGTAAAACCAAGTGGGTTGTGTAAACACAATGCATGGTGTGATGACCATCACTTTTCAATATTGTAGTGGTGAAATCTTCTGAACTAATATATGCAGTAGCATGTGTGATCTGATAATTATGTAAATGTTGTTATATTTATTGTAGTGTCGGGCTTTGCGAAAGAGGTTAACGCTAGCTGACAAGAGTAAGGAAAAACTGCAAGGTGAACTGGTTTTGAGCAGTAAACAAAACTCCCAATTAAAAGTAAGTGTCTTGACCCAGCCATACATCCATTCCTTTCCTGCAGTATCTTGTATGCTTGGGCCGATTTCATTCAAACTTCACACATACATCACATTGGATATATGCACATGCATTTGTTTTGTGATCTGATTCAAGATTGCAGAATGGCAGCCACTTTAAAGCTTGGACTGGGTTCAAACTGACCGACTAGCAGCCTTTTTTGTCTAAAAAAATGCAGTTCCAGTTGAACAACTGACATGTCTGGTCTGATCAAGTTCAAACTTCATACATACAACATATCGAATATGCAGTTTTATCACCATCAAATCCAAAATGGGTGACTGGCAGTCATCTTGGTTAATTGAGTGCAGTTCTATGGGCCATATCTCAGACGTGCCTGGACCAATTAAGTTTGAACTTCACACATACATCACTCATAAAGTCATATATCTCGCATATATAATATACAAAAAGACTTGTCATGACTTCCCCCTGATAGTGCAATAGAAATCAATATGAATTTTAATAATGATTTACAATAACATTGAGGAGAACATATTTCTGATTCTGATACTCAGATTTCTGTGAATTTATTCTGCTTACCTCACTCACTCTAACCAATCACTTTTGCCCGGTCTCATTCTTCTCATTTCTTGTCTGTAGGCCTCACTCCCTCCTATCTCTTGTCTGCTCACCTCACTCCCTCCCATCTCTTGTCTGCTCACCTAACTCCCTCCATCTCTTGTCTGCTCACTCCACTCCCTTCCATCTCTTGTCTGCTCACCTCACTCCCTTCCATTTCTTATCTGCTCACCTCACTCCCTCCTCTCCCATCTCTTGTCTCTTTACTTCACTCCTTCCCATCTCCTGTCTGCTCACCTCACTCCTTCCCATCTCTTGTCTGCTCACCTCACTCCCTGCCATCTCTTGTCTATTTACTTCACTCCCTCCCATCTCGTGCTCTCACTCCACTCCCTTCCATCTCTTGTATGTACACCTCACTCCCTCTCATCTCTTGTTTGTTTACTTCACTCCCTCCGTCTCGTCCACTCACTCCACTCCTTTCCATCTCTTGTCTATACACCCCACTCCCTGCCATCTCTTGTCTGTTTATTTCACTCCCTTCGTCCCGTCCTCTCACTCCACTCCCTTCCATCTCTTGTCTGTACACCTCACTCCCTCCCATCTCTTGTCTGTTTACTTCACTCCTTCCCATCTCTTGTCTGTTTAATTCATTCCCTCCCACTCACTCCACTCCCTTCCATCTCTTGTCTGTACACCTCACTCCCTCCCTTCTCTTGTCTGTACACCTCACTCCCTCCATCTCTTGTCTGTTCAATTCACTCCCTCCCATCTCGTCTGCTCACTCCACTCCCTTCCACCTCTTATCTGCTCACCCCACTCACTCCCTCCCATCTTGTCTGTACACCTCACTCCCTCCCATCTCTTGTCTGTTTACTTCACCCCTCCATCTCATCCACTCCCTTCCATCTCTTGTCTGTACTCCTCACTCCCTCCCATCTCTTGTCTGTGTACTTCACTCCCTCTCATCTCGTCCACTCACTCCACTCCCTTCCATCTCTTGTCTGTACTCTTCACTCCCTCCCATCTCTTGTCTGTGTACTTCACTCCCTCCCATCTGGTCTGCTCACTCCACTCCCTCCCATCTCGTCCTCTCACTCCACTCCCTTCCATCCCTTGTCTGTACACCTCACTCCCTCCCATCTCTTGTCTGTTTACTTCACTCCCTCTCATCTCGTCCACTCACTCCACTCCCTTCCATCTCTTGTCTGTACACCTCACTCCCTCCCATCTCTTGTCTGTTTACTTCACTCCCTCCCATCTCGTCCACTCACTCCACTCCCTTCCATCTCTTGTCTGTACTCCTCACTCCCTCCCATCTCTTGTCTGTTTACTTCACTCCCTCTCATCTCGTCCACTCACTCCACTCCCTTCCATCTCTTGTCTGTACTCCTCACTCCCTCCCATCTCTTGTCTGTTTACTTCACTCTCTCTCATCTCGTCCACTCACTCCACTCCCTTCCATCTCTTGTCTGTACTCTTCACTCCCTCCCATCTCTTGTCTGTGTACTTCACTCCCTCCCATCTGGTCTGCTCACTCCACTCCCTCCCATCTCGTCCTCTCACTCCACTCCCTTCCATCCCTTGTCTGTACACCTCACCCCCTCCTATCTCTTGTCTGTTTACTTCACTCCCTCCTCATCTGCTCAATGCAACCCCTTCCACCTCTTATCTGCTCACCTCACTCCCTCTCTTCCATCTCGTCCTCTCACTCCACTCCCTTCCATCTCTTATCTGCTCACTCCACTCCCTTCCATCTCTTGTCTGTACACCTCACCCCTCCCATCTCTTGTCTGTTTACTTCACTCCCTCCCATCTCTTGTCTGTACACCTCAGCCCTCCCATCTATTGTCTGTTTACTTCACTCCCTCCCATCTCATCTGCTCACTCCACTCCTGTCCATCACTTATCTGCTCACCCCACTCACTCTGATCTTTTAACTGCCCACCTCACTTCCTCCGAGCTCGTCTAGTCACCTCACTCTATTTCATAGCTTCTCTGGTCACCTCACTCACCCCTGCCCTAAGCTCTTTCCATCTCAGAAATTTGGATGATTCAACATTATTTTGTAAATTAATCTGCCTTATTTTATAGGATGAACTACAGACAACAACACGTAGCTATGAATCTCAACTTAGTATGATGAGTGACCATCTGTGTAGCATGAATGAACAACTTACTTCACAGAAAGATGAAATAGATGCTCTAAAAATGACTGTTGCTGCTAAGGTAAGTATTGCAATATGGTATTAAAAAAAATAGTAGCAATATGCACTTACTAAATCACAGTTTGATCATGATCAATAAAAATACAATATTTGATGTGCGCTCTATTAATACAATACAATACAATATTGCTTGAATGGTATATCTGTGTGATACCATGGTTGTTTCTATGATGCGACAGTTTACTATTTCTGATTTTTTTTTCAGCCTGTAAACAAGAAGGGAAAACACAAATAAAGTTTGTTACCTTGAAGTTAGGACAATAATCATGGATGTACTACAGTAGACCACTTTCATATCACAGGATATCAATTTTCAGATTTCCAGATTTCACAGACTTTTAATTTCCCTTAGTGTAATCAAATTATGAACATTTGCGTAAATTTACAGTCAACATTATTTGCCGCAAGTAGTCCTTTCTTAATGTAATGTACAATGTGTACCCACCAAGGTGAAGTATATGAACCAAATATGCATTGTCAACCCCCTACCCCCACCCCCTCAAGGAATCAGAATATGTAGCTAGTGCCAAAGGGTGTTGTGAATTTCTGTTACCAAATTATTCATGAACACTGTCAAATTCCCCCTACACATGGTAACATGGTTCGTAATCAAATCCCAACCCTGTAAGAAACATTGATGGGTACACGATGGTATTTATTGTGTGTGCACTACCAGTCATGCACACTGACACTGCTTGAATTGAAATAGTTGTATCATGCTCAAAAAACAAGCCAATACATTACTGCTGTCATAAACAGCTAAATGTTGGTAATTTATATAGAATACACTGTAGAGTCTGTTTTCAGACACTGTAAGCCAACTATTTTGGTAATATATTATTAAGAATGTAATTGTATTAGATTGTATTATGTTTGTGAGTTTAACATATTAAATCCATGTGAAAGTGTGATTTCGGTAGATGATTGTGAAAGCACTCCATTTCAGAAATATGTTGATGAAATCAAATCTAAATCATGCAGAGTCATTGTTTTAGCAATTTTAAATATTTTGGGGTACGACCCCACCCACTTGTGCACGGTCCCCTCTTGTAACATACTGTAGCTTGAAATCCTGAGTTTTAACCTTCCGTATCGCATGAGGATTATATGCTGGTATGTTATTTATTTTCTAAATATATTGTTCTGAAATTCCGTATTTTATATTAAAAGTCTCTTGAAGGAATATAATTGACCCTTATAATGAAGCTCAGTTTCTTTTACCTACTGTAAAATACTTTATTTTAGCTGGGTGTTTTTGTGTCACTGATTGGAAAAAAGGTCTATTCGCTGAAATTTATTTTCACTGAATCATTACTGCAGTGAAAACAGCGAAAATAAATTCAAAGCAAAAATAAAGTATTCTACAGTATGTTATAACCAGCTTTTGGAACACTATTACGATGAATTGCACGAAGGGAGATTTCATTCACGAAAGGTCAAAATAAAAAAAAACAGGAAAACCCATTACTGATAAACTATGATTATATTGGATCGACTTGTCGGACATGGGTCTTAATATTTCATTCACCATCCAACTTTGTTTTCCGGC